ACAGAAAAAGGACCTGTTTTTTTTTACACTTTCAAGTCCGAGCCCCTCCATGCCTGCTCACCAATGGGACTGCAGCCCTTGTCATCAGAAAATGATTCATCTCTCTTTGAGTCATCCTCAGCTGTCCTTGACGTTTCTTTTTGCTCTGATTGATAATGATGTGCAATGGCTGCTGCTGCTGAGGCGCTGTGACGGGATCTCAACTGCACCATAAAGGAAGTGTCGGGCTGTTTTGACCTTTACCATGTGATTCCCCTCGGCAGCTCTGTTGACTAAACTCTGACTCGGACACTTAGTGAAAAGGAGAAAAACAAACTCAAGAGAAGTGTTTGGGTATTGACTGTAAGTTCTTATTATATAAGATTTAAACTGTCCTTGAGCTCATTGAGATTCAAAATAAACTTGATGTCATGGAACATCAGTGAAAGTGTTTTAGCTGTGCTAAGAAGAACGCCCTGGCATGAATCAATGGAGATGAAATATTTAAAGGGAAAGTTTATCTATAGGGAGATTTTATAACGGTCCAGGCAGTGTGCTGAAGTAATCGTGTGGAAAATCGCACCTAATCAGTGCATTAAATCAACACGTCCCTCTGAGATTCTTTAAAGCCTTCTCCACCCGACTCGGCAGACGTTTCAGACCCTTAGCATCAGCCGTTAACTCTGTTGAAGGAGTTTCAGGAACTTGGGTGATAACTCACAGCTGTGAGGTCTGATGAAGCTCCCTGCAGTCTCATAAACAGGAACGCTCTCATCAGGGCTGTGATTGATGGAAGAAGATCACGCCGAGCAGGTTCCCCCGAAGACATTTGCTGCCTCTCAAAACGGAAACAATAAAAGGGAAATAATCTTCACCGAATTATTTATCGCACCTGATCAGATCCCTGTCAGGGAACCATCAATCCTGAATTAATCTACAGTTTAAGTCCAATTTAGGTTTGGTTACTCGTTTAAACCAATAATTCTTAGAGAACAAGAGTCGGCTGTAGGGTTTTATATTCTAAGACATAAAAAAAAAAATGTTGCTTCTTTGTTCTGAGGAAGAGCCAAAAAAAAAAATCAAAGAATGCTGCAAAGGAATGATAATGATTCTACAAGCATCCAGCTAAAGATAGTTTTTTTCTGTTAGTTATCAGCAGGGCACGAGGAGGAAGCTGGGCGTTCCAGCAGATACAGGCTAAAGCAGCACTTTTCTCCCCAGTAAACCGAAAATTGATTTGTTTATATTCATAGATTCAGCTTTCTTTCGTTTTCTCGTTTTTATCTGGAGCCGGAAAGCCTTGGCTTCAAGCAGGGAGGCTCAGAGGGCACGCAGCTGAGTTGTCTCGGCGGTTTCATCAGCGGCCCAGAGAAGTTGTCCCTTTGCGTGTGTGGAATGTTAGCACTTAGAGAGGGATGAAAGAGGCCGAGTGGTGGAAGGTCTGAGAGAGATGAGAGGGAGTCGATGAATGAAAGATGTTTGAATGAAACGGAGTGCCTTTAATCTCCATAGCTGTTATTAGGTTTGACTCGTGTGTTTTGGTTCAGTGTGTCATCAAATAACCCGTGTTCATACTGGACTTGAATCCTTTTAGGTCTTTTGATACTTATTTTTGCTCATTTCTTTTATCTAAGAATTGCTTTTCTCTCTTTACATATCTTGGACTTTTTCTAATTATACCATTGTCTTGTGTCGCTGAGGGTTTTATGCAGACTGTCAGCTGTCACGTCTCATTCTTTTATTCTCTCTGCCGGCTTTGATCTCTTCTAAAAGTCTAGACATGTAGTTCTCTGTCTTTGACAGCTTGTAGTTTTTCTGTCTTTCTCTCTTATTTGTTGCTTCTCATTGTTTTCTTTTTTTAGTCGGTTTCTTTTGGACGTTTTTCCTCCGTCACATTTAAAGTATCGAACAGGGTGACCTCTGTAGCTGCCGTCATGTTTGGCATCTCTCTGATTAATTTTCAGCCTGGTCTGCTGTGCTTTTGTGTGTTTGAATTCAATTAATTGGAAAACGCTTTATTGATCCAAAGGGAAATTAAATGCTGTAGCTCATGTTCTTATTTAGTTTTTTTTAATGCGTCGTAGATGCTGATGGCTGAAGAGTCTAAGCAGCTTTTCTTTATTTCTCCCTGAAATGAAGAGTCACGGTTTTTTAGTTGAAGTGTTTTGTTTGTTCGTTTTGATGTAATTATCAGGCTTCACTTGGAGGATGAAATAATCGTAACTTCCCACAAAAATAGCAAACTATTTTCAGTCCTTTTCGTGGGTGGAAGAGAATCTTCGTAGCAGCTTGTCATCAGATAAAATGTCGAGCCACACTCAACGCCTCTTTTAATTTCAGTTTTCATTGGAGTTATCCGTGCCCCTTCAGAGGAGGAGGGGAATTAAAACATCAAGCAGCGTAACGGAGCAGTTTATCTGACTGTACATCAAATCAAACATATGTGTAGGATGCACTGCTTCATTCTGAGTTTCTTCATCTAAAATCAGGTTTTTTCACTCATTTATATAATGTGCGATCCTGTTGACCACCTGCTGAAGGGCTTACCGACATTTCTTCACATTATAATTTTTAAAGATGTTTTTTTACTGGGATCTAAAGTGCAAAAAAAAAATGGGTAAATAATACCTGTTTTTTTAATTTGTTTAAAAATATGTTATATAGTGTGGCATGTATTTGGAAATGCTGTGCCGTAACCTTTATTAAGGTTCTTCACTCAGATCAAAACAAAGTTTTTGGCCTAGATTTTAAATCCTGTATTTAGTAGAAAATCAACGACGCAAATTTTCCTGAAAACACACTTTCCACTCAGTGAGGTACGGTGGTGGCAGCATAATGCTTCCTCTTTAGGAATAGAAAAGCTGCTTAGAGGTGATGGGAAGATGGTTTATTAAAGGCAGTCCATAAAAAGAGAGTTGTTAAAAAAAAAAGGTTTCTATTGACCCTCAACTGCCTCTAGCCACAATTTTAAGATCACTTCACTTTATTTTATTTTTTAGCAAATAATCCAACATTAAACAACGTAACAACAATATAAAAAAAAACTGTTGCCTACCCTGTTTTATACTTACAACCTTTTCAACCTACCAGGTTCTTTACTGCGTATATAAATATTCAAATCTACATAACATGGATTTTATCATTTTACATTTTAAAGTCCTTTTAAAATTCACCAAGAAAGGACATAACTTTAAATCATCATTCAATTCATTCCACATTTCCACAATCAAGCACAAGAGAACAGCGATCCTAATGGGTTTCAAAGTAACCATAACAGGGTTCAGATCAGAATATTCACATTCAATGGTCTAGTCCTTTAATGGACGATGGTTCTCCATCACAATATAGATATAATTACAAATGCTGTGTTTAGCGTTTTGGAACTGATTAATTTGATTAAAATACCAAACTAAATTGACTTTAAGCCTAACAGAAATATATATATTTTTTATCTTTTTAAGTGGGGAATAATGATCTTTTTTTACGGATTTTTTTATTTTTTATTTTTTTAGCTACCCACTGAAAATATATTTATTACCGTATATATTACATTTTTTTCCTCAATTAAAAAATTGGAATTTACACATTGTTTTTTTTTTTAAGCACAAACCTGTATGCACTATATATAATTAATATTTTTCTTTTTTTTTCTTTTTTTAAAGTCATGTTGTGTTTGAAGCTCTAAACAACTTTGATTAGCTGGACTAAAGTCAAAAATGGCTTTTTGGATTGTAAAGCTTGAAGAGCGCTGGTCTAGTCAAAGTCCAGATCTACATCCGGTTGATTCTTACTTCATATATCTAACCTGACTCCGCCAGATGTATTTGCTCCGCATATCCATCTGGAAACATTCCGTTGAAGTAATTTTGGGAAGGGGCGAAAACACTGGTTAGCTGATTGGCCTATGTTGGTGATAGACGGGCCAAATAAACCAATCAGATCAACGAAGCATATGACGTACTAACAGAGCCAATTGATAGATCAAACTCTTGCCGAAACCAGTCGGGAGAAGAGCAAAAACATCTTTCCCTCTGAGAAAAGCCTCCAGAGCAGTGTTTTGCTCTTCTTTCAGTGAAGAAACACTCTGTAATTCCGATAAAACTTGCACGATAGCCACGCTAACGCTAGTTTCATCGGCTGAAGCCGCCATGTTCTTTAGACTGAACTGTCGCGCTTCTCGTTGCATCACACCGCCTCAAAGCCAACGCTGATTGGACGTTCGTTTGGTGAACGGTTCCAAATTTTCTTTAACGGAGAGTCTCCAGACTGATCTGCGAGTGAAACCTTGAAAGCTCGCGAGATCAGGATGGTCTCACGAGGCTATCATATATCTGTCTGTCTTTGCAAATCAGCCCAGGTGCAAAGATGTCCCGCTCTAGGCTGTAAAATTAAATCTGTTTTACCGTTATACGTTATATTGTGTGGTTTTATTAAAAACATTTATTAAAAAGTTATGAAATGTAATGTGGATTATTGTTTTTGTTTTATGTTCAAGGGATTTTAAGACCTCGCTAACGTTTAGCAAACATTGTTTTATACTTAAGCCAAGTCTTAACTAAGATATATTAGAAATATTAAGTAAGATATAAGAAATATTAGACGCCTTTTTTCACATTAATAGCAATATTTGCCATTAAGAGTTTCTCCCATTGAGGATTATACTATAATAATTCACCTAATATGTTTCAAGGAATTCATTGCTCATGTTAAAAGTATCTAACTTTTTGTCAATCATTTTCTACTTTAAAGGTCAGCGTTATTTTTCCAGTCAGAAAATGCCTCCTGGTCTGAATAAAGCAATAAGCCAGGCAGGAATCTAAGGAGGACGCTGATATATTGGCGTCGCATTGGTTGATCTCTCCTGCAAAAGAACCTCTTCAAAGAGCAGCTCTGTGGGGAACAAATGGATTGCTTTTGGGTTATTGATCTTTTTACTTTGTGCTGTGAACCTGCGCTAAGCCACCAGGAGCGCACCCAATATTGGATCTGACTTTCCTCTCCTTGTTTTTCATTTTCTACAGGCTCTTCAACCTGACCCTGAAGAAACTCATTATGCTGAAGGAGCTGGACAAAGATCTCACCTCGGTGGTCATCGCAGTCAAGCTGCAGGTAAAGACACAGCTTTGTCACAACTGACAGGAAATTAGGAAACGAACCAAAAAAAAAAGTTTCTCTCACAAAGTTTTGAAAATATAGTTTGTAGTGGATTAACTAGAGCATCCCAATGAAACGTTGAAAAATCCAGGATGATCAGAAATTTGAGAAGTGGAAAAGGCTGGAAAATTTAAAGATAGGTGTGGAAAAGAAAAGGTTTGAGTGTGTATATTTAATCTCAAATAAAGAAAGGCCCTCTATTTAAATTAAGGTAATATTTTATTGTCTTTGGTCACCTTGTTAAATAAATTTTAATTTATGTTTTGTTGTGAAATTGTAGGAACCAACAGATTCACCCAAAACTAAAAATGTAATGTCTGCATGTTTTTCAATATGTTCTCCACTATCCTCGGATATATCGGATATTTGCGTTTTACATTGAACGTAGAAATGTTTACATTCATTTTCATCGTTGGAATGGGTCTCTGTGTTAACCCTTTGATGGACTCCACTAATGACGATTATTACCAGCTGAGCCATTGGGCGATATGGCCAAACACTGACGGTACTGTGGCCTTAAGAGGCGCCACGAAAATATTCATCCTCAATATAACGAAAATAAAACTACGTATTACTATTAACTCTTAAAATGGAAAAACTAAAACAGGTTAAAATTATTGTTATTAGAGCTGGGAGAGAATCTCGGAAAATAAAGCTAAGGGTATTTATCGCTGTAGTAAATGTAGTGACCACTAGAGGTCAGTAATCGGTCTGTATTCAGTTGTGTAAAGTTCTGTATATAGTTATCGTATAGTGTAAATGTATTATTTTTCTGCAAATTGTGTCATTTGAATTTTATGGTTAAATTATTACATTCATAATTAATTACCGTTATTCTAATTATTTCCACTGTTTTTTATTTTATGCTGATGGGACTTTTAGATTTCTTTTGTATTTATTTGTAATTTGTTTAGTGCTTAAATCAGGTGATATGTTGCCTTTATGAATTAAAGCTGGTGGATAAGAAGCGTGTTTTTCACAGGCCAACTTCACAGCAGATGAAAACTGAACATTAACTGTAGTCATGGCTTTCTCCGATCTAAATAAAATAGGGTCCTCCTTAGGTAACTTAGTTTAAATTTAGAAGTTATATCTGCAAGTTTATTCAGGAGCATACAATTATAGGACTTAAAGCCTAGAGATATGATTCTATTGCGTGAGGGGAATAAAATAGGTTCCTAGCGGAGGTTTACATATTGGATAACAAACCAGAAAGTAGTCTGTCTTCCTCCGTTTTTACCACAGCAAAGTTCTTCACTGTTTTTCGAGGACGGTTATTGGATCTGGATACACTTCATGGGATGATGTTTAAAAGCTCAGACACTCTCTGACACTCTGCCAAAGATGGGTTATTTAAAATTGCTGAGCTCCAGCAGGGCTGCTGCCCCTTCTTAAATTGACCAGCCTATAATTTCAATTATTTAAATTTAACATACATGATGTCAGAAATGTTAAATTAAAAGGCTTTGAAAACCCGTTCCTCCACATAATATAATGCGTTGTGTTATAATACTTCTGTCTTTTACTAGAAGCTCAGCAAACACAGAGTAGTGGATTGTGTGTTTTCCAAAGCTTTTATTTGAAAATCTGAACAGTGTGGCAGGCATTTGGGGTCCGTAAATTAATATTTTGTAAGGATTTGGAAAATAATTTGGAAAATGATGCTAATTTTTTCTTCCACTTATCAATTACATTTAACTTTGCATTGCTTTATCACATATATTCCCACTGATATCTGATGAAGATCATAGTAGTGATACTGATTTGCTAATGTGCCGGAGATCCTCAGTCACCCAGGTCATAGTCATTCCAAAAAGAAAGAAAATTAAAAACAATCCATTCGACTTTGGGAAGTTCATTGGATTGTTTTTAATTTTCTTTTTTTTTTGGATTGATTTGCTAAGTGTAAACAAGTTTTGTGTGTATAGATTTATAAGGCTTCTTCTTGCCAAACCGTTGTTGATACCCGTCATTTTCTATCTGAATGTCTAAAAAATGAACTCATAGGCTGTGGCTCATAGAGCACTATATAGTGGTTACGCCATTTTAAATGAGTGTTTAAACATCTAGTGGAAGAAAAAGTAGTGGACTCGAATTTTCCCAACATGCACCTTGAACAGCAGTGATGATCGATGGTCGCTAGACAAGCAGATATATAGATCTTTGTCATGATCTTGTCGACCACTTTTCTTCAGCATAGCTTCTCTCATCTGCATTTCACTGAATAGAGATAAATACTCTTTCTGGTTAGCTTGCAGCACTAGTGCTTGTATTTTTCCTTTCGATTTACACCTCCTATCTCCTCTCTGTCTCCTCACCAGGGCTCCAAACGGATCTTGCGCTCCAATGAGATCCTGCTTTCCTCAGCAGGACTGACAGAGACTGACTTACAGCTCACCTTCTCCCTGCAGGTACAGAAACTTCCAGCCCTAACTGTAGCTGTAAACTCACTATTAATTGGTGAAAACAAGTAGCCCCTGCTGGTAGTGGGACCATCCTCCTGATTTTTTCCGACCTATAGACAGATCCTGAGTCGTTTTATTGAGGATTATACCCATTTTTTTTCTCCAACGTATATTCTGTCCACTCATTCAGAGGACAGTTAATCTCCATCCTTCTAGTGTTTCTTCTGCTCCAAATCATCCTATCCTTATTCTGCTAATACCTAACGCTGCTAAAAGGTCAGAGAGTTTGTCTCTGTGGATTGCTGCGTCTACACTGAGCCAGACATTATACATTATACATTAAACTGGCTACAGCAACACCGCAGTGGAGCAGCCTATTAAAAGTAAGCAGCAGAGACTTGTCATGGCTTTCAACATTGTTCCAGGAGCCAGTTTGTTCCAATTATTCTGCACCCGGTGAGTCTCTTAATGATGGGTTATGCCCTGTTCGGATGTGACTAAGCGATTTGTTGCTCGGGGAGAACTTGGAAAAGTATCTGGGGGTGATAATCCCTCCTGCAGCAAGTCATTAAGATCCAGCTAATTATTCAGGACCTTTGAAACCAGCGTGGTTGTTTTGATCACTCTGCACCCATCTAGCATTGTTTTCTTACCTGTAAGTTGTCTTGTGTGTGTATTTCTACCTGCAGTACCCACACTTCCTAAAGAGGGATGCCAACAAGCTTCAGATCATGCTGCAGAGGCGGAAGAGATACAAAAACCGGACCATCCTGGGTTATAAGACTCTGGCTCTGGGCCTCATCAACATGGCAGAGGTATCATAGGGGTGGATACTTATTCTCTTGCAGTCCTTTATTTTAAATTCTTTGCGCATGAGGTATGCTGAGAAAATAGTTCAAACTGAAAACTGTCAGTTTGCATCATTCAGGAGGAGGCGGTGCAGAAATGCTGTGGATTTTTCCCTCTGTCCATTATTATAGAGCTGTATTTTTTTACCCATATATTCTATTACAGTCTTAGAGTTACTATTTTCTACCCCGCTGCATTTTCTACCCCATTTTCACTTAGAAGTATTTTCTAAACGTTCGCTTCCCTACTGATAATAAAGGGGATATTGGGCTGCTGTAGAGCCGCAGACAAATATCATTACGGTATTACCATGCCGACCAGTAGGAAGGCAAACAATAGCATTTGAGGCGGGGTTTTTACTTAATCTGGGAAAATCAACGTTTATGATGTTATTTGTTCACCTAATCTGGAAAAGATTGAAAAAAAAAAATACAAGCATTTCTCAGTTTCTGAAAAATGGAGCCATACTTTGACTTGTCATAGATTTGTCAATCTGACCATATCTGATATGTACGACGGAGTATGAGGGCCAGGCTATATAAATATATATATATATATATATATATATATATATATATATATATATATATATATTGTATTTTGAGAATAAGGTAATATTACAAGAATAAAGTCGTAACATTGCGAGAATAAAGTCGTAACATTGCGAGAATAAAGTCGTAACATTGCGAGAATAAAGTCGTAACTTTGCGAGAATAAAGTCGTAATATTAAGAGAATGAAGTCATTATACCACAACCCGTTTCAGAAAGAAAGCTTCGACCTCTGACCAGCAGATAACGGCCGACCAGCTCCAAAAAACAGCAACCTGAGTCTACTTTGACATCCTCCCCAGTTTGATGCTGGTGCTAAAAGATTTCCTTATTTGTGAAACCTGAGCCAAAGTATAACTTCGCATGGTGCTCCACATTCCTCATTTTGGGGAAGAAATTGCTTCTTGTAGGAGTTGTAATATTCTCAGTATTTTATTACTTTATTCTCAAAGTGTAACAACTTTATTCTCGGAATTGTATGACTTAATTCTCCTAGTGTTACGACTTTATTCTCATACTGTTACGACTTAATTCTCATTATGACTTTATTCTCGTAATTTTGTGACTTTATTCTCGAAATAGGGCCAGGCTTGAGATTTTTCTTTTCTAAGTCCCCATCGTGAATCTGAACAATAAGATCTGGATATTTAAATCCAGAAATGGAAGGTCACATCAAGCTGTTAAGGGTTATACTTAAATAAACTCTAATAATACATTTCATCATTACATACCATCGTAGCCTCGGTCAATCCTTTTGTTTTCGTCTAGACTCTACTTTCATCTTTCATGACGGTACTTCCCACCATGAGAGAATTTCAATTACTACAAGCTTCCTTGAAACATATTTAATGTTAACCTTGATCGTAACTCAATTTAAGCTAGTGCTCTAAAAATCCTCTGGTTTTCAATCTTGGGTCTGGCTGTCTCTTTATGGCCCCAACAAATGTCACCATACATCAAACTTCCAATTAGATTTCAGCCTCTTCTGCCAAACGCTGCGGCTGTAGTCTCCATCCTGCAGAGTGGATTCATTTTGGGTCGACCTGGTGTGTGTGTGAGTGTACCTGTTGGAGGTTCATTATTATTTGCTATAAATGTCTGGTTGCTTTCAGACACTGTGTGTAAAAAATAAAGTAAAACATATTAACTGAATGGGATTTCTTTAATAAGAATAATAAAAACCCAAAGTGCAGATAAAAAGAGCAAGAATGCCAACTTTATCTGGTACCTTATATGGTCCTCTGGATGTTTACATGCTCTAAAATTAGACAAGGCAAGTGTAGGATAAGCTAAGATAGTACATGCCACCCTTAATCACACTGTCAGCTTGGAGGAAAGGCCTTCCCTATCTAAAATGGGTTACTCTACTCTTCTGCCTCAGGCCGCTACCGCATAGAAAATAAAGGCACATTTTCTGCATGAAGACAAGTCAGCTGCAAAGGTCAGGAGCCACAGAGAAAGGTCTAAAGTTGATTTATTCACAGCCTGTAGAATGTTTCCACATTTTGTTTGGCCGACACCACCAACTCCTTTTTTATGGGGATTTTCCAAAAATAAAGCAAAATGGTGAAGTGGAATAAGAAGAATATCTGGGTTTGAAGCTGTTCTACATGGAAAACCCATCTGAAAAGTGTGGCATGCATTTGTGAGTCAATATGTAGACCTCTGCCCTGTTCTCCAGTCTTTTAGCTTCTTCCACCATTAAGCTACAATGGAGAGTATGAGCAGAAACGTGTGCCATCAGAAGTTGAAATAAATGGCTTAGCTTGAAAATGAATTTATCTAAACTGAAAGTAAATTTAAAGGTACACTATGCAACCGGTGTTGATTTTCCAGCGAGGCTCCCCCCAGAGGGCGAAAGTAAAAGTGCACTGTCGTAAATATGCACGGCTGTTCACCTGGTTTCTCCGTCAAGCCAGGCGCGGTTGTTTTGAGCTTAGCAGACAGGCGAACGCAACGAATGACTAAGCATCTGACGCGCGTGACGCGCCGCAAACGCGTTGCTGCTCGAGATGGAAAAATTAAATTTTTGCTGCTCGACGCGCCGCATCAACCAATCAGAGAAGCTGATGTGGGAGCTGGCAGGGAGAGAGACACAGCACTGATGTTCAGAGCGCTATGATCACTCCTCTTTAACAGTTTATTGACTCCTAAATTAACTGAAAATGCAGAAATCTGCCGGCAGAATATGTTGGCTTTTATTATCCTGCTGCCTGCAGTTTGGATTATTTAGATGAAAAACACCTACCAGCCGCGGCGGTGAACCGCGAGGAGGCGACCAGGCCAGAGGCTGCTGATGAAGGGATCCCTACTGTCGGCGCACCGCTGCTATGTGGGGGTCTGAGCGGCTCCGACAGAAAAAATATTGGAAGGCAGGATGATAATCTGAATGAACTGACTGCACTGATTACGCTTTCAGGTGTATTTTCTCACTTAAAAACATATTAAAACTACTTTATTCCCACTGATCACAGCAAATATAGCTGCAAGGCAGAGAAAGGATAGTGAAGCTCCGCCCAACGTGCGTCAGACACACTTTTGCACCGCAGCCAGAGCAGCAAAGCTGCTTCAGCCGCGCGTCAGAACTAACTGGTACAAGCAGCAAAAATGAAGCAGCAGACGCGATTTTGCTGCTTTTGCTGCATCCGGTGTGAAAGCAGCACTGCACAAAGATCGCCACTGTGCTAGCAACGAGCATGCTTTTAACTGGGGGCGTGTAGCAGTTCTCGCCGTAAAGCAAGACCGACTCTCGTGAGACTTCTGAGCCTGTGGGTGCGGGTCGGTGCTCCTGCAATTGCAAGTGCAGTATTTCCCCCAGAGACCACCAGGGCGGCCGAGAATACCTTTGTTCAACCTGAAATGACTCATTTAATCATCCAAAACGTTATGGAACACATTAATTAACTGAAAAATTTTGCATAGTGTGCCTTTAACTGTTTGAAACGAATCAGTTTGCTTTGCAAATTCTTTTTAACATATTAAAAAATGCAATATGTTAATTTTTACCTTAGTGCTATGAATCAATTTCAGTTACAATTAAGTTAATTTGTTTCATGAAAGCAGGTGTTTAATCAAACACAGTTATGGATTGGTATTCTGCATCAGGTTAAACTTATTCAAATATAAACTCATGTCTATAAGATTATTAAAAAATAAAAGATAGCTTTGGGCTAACCGTAAAAGCTGGTTATAGCCATCAGCTAAAGACACTAAGTTAGAAAAGTGCGCCATTGGTAAAACGCATTCCTGCATTTTTCCATCAATATGTTTGATTCGCTAATAACCACTGGTTGTTATACTAAACAAGCCAAACCTCCTTCTTCACATCCTTAATTCCTCAAATATAACAAGTGAGACTATTTCATGTAAAATATTAATATTAAAGAAAGATAGAAATGTACCAATAAGGCTTTTTTGGTCTGATTTTCACCATTTCCATGTTTTATTGATCAAAACATTTGAGCAGGGGTATTCAGCTAGATTTTAGGAGGGTCCAATACCTCAATTCACTCCCTCTATGGGTTCCTTAACCAATGGATGTTGCACAAATTATTGGAAAAAATGTGAAACTATTGAGGCAACTTAAACATTTTATTAAGCTTTTTGGTGCTTTTCTTCGTTACAAGGATGTATTAAATATATCTTAATAAATACTTAACTTCCTGATCTTTAAAGAACAATTTTCTTAAATATTGAGCATTCTCACTAAGAGATAACATTTAATCATTTGCAAAATTGAACAGCAACATCATACATAATGAAAGTCCTTTTTAAAAGCAACTTCTAAAATACAACCCTGGTTCTGTAGTTCTTTATTTTACTTAAGCTGAATCCAGTTGCAGCACAAAGTAGCAGGAAAAATGTAAAACTTTAGGGCTCAGAAAACTGGAATAATTTAACAGAAGCCTGAGTTTGTTTATTTTTGTGGTTTTAACCTCATTCTGATAAAATTTCCTCAAACTTTTATGCTTTATGTTTTTTTCCACTTTTTACAATCGCCACAGAGTCACAGCAGCTTAAACAGATTGGTCCTGTAGCGTGTCCTGGGAGAACAAATGCATATCCGTCGTCCACTCGTCTTTGAATTCCCCGTTTTTATATTCAACCTTCCAGAATTTTTCAACAAGCAATCTGGCAATGGAATGGTTGTGGAGAGCACCTGAGGAGACAGAGCTGGGCTGTAGAAGCTGTCCCTGATGAAAATTGTGCGAAGAAAATTTTGATCGAAACCACCAAAGATTCATTTTACTACATAAAACGTCCGGTGGTCCTGAGTCCACTAGTTTGTGGCCGCTGCATTAGAGAAAGAAAGGTTTACTGCTGTTCCCTCCTTAGAAGAAGTAGTTTCTAATCAAACAGAAAAGAAAATGGATTACAAGATTATTTAAAGAATCAAATCATATATCAAAGTTCTACTAACACGATTTTATCAATTTTCCCAATTTCAAATAATTGGTCAATATATATTTTTTGGCCCAAATGTCGATACATATGAAGAAAACAATGAAAAGTGCTCATTGGATGAAAGGAAAAATAAATTAGAACATCATTACAGAAATGCTATGACCTTAATGAGCTGCGATTGTCTGCCCTCTTTAAATCACTTTTTGCTTGAAAGTAATTCAAATCATTTATAAAGATTATTACTATGCAAACAGTTTTGATGAGCTTCCAGCATTGTTCTAATAAATCTTCACACAGAAGCTATGAGAAGCTCAGGCTGCTCTACATCAGCAATGTGCAACAACAGATATTTTAAATGCTGCAATTTTAGCTAAAATAAAAAAAGCGTTTTTCTGGAGAGAATTCATCACATGCTGCAGTTAAGTGTCATACATTAAATCAGCTGAAATGAAATGGATTTTTAAAAAGCTCTGCTGTCGTTTCTTTAAAAGAATGAATTTGCAGTAAATCCACTATCGGCTCCGGCGTCTTGATGGTGAATAAAATAAAAAAAAAGAACAAAAACAAATCAGTGGCATCATCGGGAGCCTTTTCCATTAAGAATGCATGTTTTCCTTCTGCGCTGTTTTTCAGCTTAGCATAATTTGCTTTCTGAGTGGAAACTGGGTAAAATTAGCAGCAAGCTTCTCCCGGCAGCATTGGAAACATTGAAAGGCCAGCAGCTCAACCTGAGCCCAGCCAGAGGATGGATGCAGAGCAGTGATGTCTCTCTTTAATCTGTGGCCACGGCTGTCTCCATAATAAGCTGCTCAGACTTCATTAGCTCTGTTAGAGCAACCAGACTGCTGAGAGAGGCTGGATGTCATTTTTGTTTTTTCACAGAAAATGCCGCTGTCGGCTGCAGACATGCAGAAAATCTATGCATAGCTTATTTATATTCCCCCCTCTTTGGTTACGCTTTGCTGCTTGTCTTTAGTTTTCCTGAACCTTTATTCTTTCATCTCTTATGTGTGTCCCCTGACTGTCATCAGGTCCTCTGTTTCTGCAGCCGCACACCTCATTCAATGCATTTAGAGGTCATGCATTAATCTGGTGCATTTAGAGCGTGCAGGATATATGTGCTCCACAAAGCTGCTCGTTGAATATTATTATGCATTTCTTCTCACCATTCCTCCATTAAGGGCAGCTTTTTAAATTGCATCGTTAAAGTTTTTCATCAATTTTTATTTTTATTTAGTATTGTCTTCAAATTTTTTATTCTATTTTAGTTTTAATTTGTTATTAGTATTTGTTAGCTAGTTTAGTTTAGCTTTTACTTTTTGAAAAAGCTTAGTTTCAGATTAGTTTATATTTGTTTCAGTCATAGTTTATATTCTTTAATATAATATGACTTACATACTGGGGACAAAACCAAAAAAAATAAATAAATAAAAGTTAAGGACCCAACTGCAGTAAAAAAAATCAAAACAGCATCCAGAAACTAGACCTCATATTAATTAATTATAAAAAAAGACACAAACTAAAACTAAGCACATACTCTCTTAGAATTCGGCTAGTTTTCACATTTTTGCAAACTCTAGTTTTTTAATGAAAAAGTCTTTTAATTCTAATTTCCATCATTTCGTTACCGCAATGATAACGATCGCTGTCTGCAGTAGGGGTGAGTATTAGCATGGATGTTGCAAAACGATATTTGGGTCACGATACAATATTATCATGATATTGCAGTATCGCTGTCTATTGCGATATTTTTCCCAGCTATCAAAATTAAATGTGTAGAAATGTTCATGAGAAGATATCGATCGTTTAGTTATTTTGGTATCCATGTTTGAGGTTTGAGTCGGTTCATGTTTTCCACTGTGACTGCCTCAACTAGATATGTCACTGCATCGTACAGACAAAGGGCTCCACAGCTCCATCTGCCATTTTCCCTCATCGATTTAGGTTAAACGTTTAGTTTAAAAAAAAAAAATCGATATTAGGACCTGAAAGATCGTTATTATAACAGGGAGCTGAAAATCATGATTTATCGCCAAAACGATTTTTTCCCATACCCCTAGTCTGCAGCTCCTCTAAAGTTGCCATGGATCTCTTATCTCTTAGCTACAGACGGGGTTTGAATACAAATGTCCACTTCTGTTCCTAGAAGTTAAATTTTAGGAACAGAAACAAGTTCCTTCTTTTCCTTCAACTTCACAGTTATTCACTTTTTTTTTTAGATTTTCTATCACATAAAAACTGCATGACATCAGTTTTAAGTTTGCGTTCGCAATACGACAAAATATGGGAGAAGGTGTGAAGACTTTCCAAAACTGGAATAACACTATAATAGAAAAATGTTACTACCGAAAATGTATTTATAACTGCGCTGCTATTTTAGACCAAATATATATATAAAAAAAGGTTTCATTTGATAAATTCTGGAAGCACCAGCTATTATTTGATTAAAACCTTGTGGTTTTTCCCCCCTGCAGGTGATGCAGCACCCCAGTGAGGGAGCCCAGGTTTTAGGGCTCCACAGCCAGCTGAAAGACGCTTCTGTTCCCGTCGCCGAGGTCCGAGTTTACTCCCTGTCCAGCCAGCCCATCGATCACGAGGGCCCCAAGGCTAAGATGTCTGGTATGGGAGCTTTGAAATATACATTTTTTAATTATTATATTGTCAGATGTTGTTACAGTCTTCTCTGTTTTCTCCAGATCGTTCTCCTGACATCGACAATTACTCAGAAGAAGAGGAGGAGAGCTACTCATCTGAACAGGAGGGCAGTGATGACCCCATTCATGGGCAGGTGTGTTTGAACAAAGATTTAAATAATAACTCACTGATCCATTGGAGCCATTATGCTGCTTGCAATAGCTGCTTGAACTTATCATTTGTATGTACAAATGTAGAATAAGCGCACAGATGGCTCTAAAAATGGGTCCTCACTGGATTTTAGAGCTAAACAAAGTGGTTTAACAAAGGCAGAGGAAGCTGTGTTTTTCGGGGAGGAACGCTGAGGGGAGCAGACAGACAGCAGAGGGAGATAAGACTCTCAAAGTGGAGGGATGGAGAGAAGCTGTGCAGCTGAAAAAGGGATGAATGGAGGGAGGGTGGGGCAGTCCTGCAGCGCAGAGGGGAAGATAAGCTGAGAAAAAAGCTTTACCTAAAGGGCAATTCAGGCGTTAAACGCTGCACCTGAGGTAAAACTACTGGTTCCTCCTTAACAATGGAGGATAAGAAAAATAGAAAGAGATTTGATGGACATGGTTGAGCAATCATTGCTGACTCATCCACAGGTCACCATTTTATCAAAACGTTTGTTTACAGTTTACAGGTCTGTGCCCTATATAGACTTTAAGCTGCAGCACCTTCTATATGTTTTTCTTTCAACCTAAACATGCGTACATTTAAAGGATATCCATTTATTTTTTTCCCCTCAGGCTTTCATCGTTTGTGGACTGTTTTTTTGGTTGTTGTTTTTTTTTTAGCAGGGGCATCCCTACATAAAAGCATAACTCTAATTAGTAGAGTAGTCCATGATTTGGTGGTTATATTGAATCATTATGATCATTACTACATGACTGCCCTTATTAAGGCATTTAGTCAGCTTTTCCCAAAGGACAAGATGAAGCTCCGCATTCAGGACTACCTTTTTGGGCTGATTTGGGCTTTTCTTATATTCACGCTTGCACAATTGCACCTAACCATCCCTATAAAATAAATTCAATTCTATTTCATTCCTCTCTTGAATAATATTGGTTAGTTTTTTTGTACTTGTAATTAGTAATCCATGACTAGGAAGGTGTGGCAGTAATACCAGTAAATGTTGGCCACTGGCTGCTCACTCTTTCACTCTGTAGCAGGTAGATGAAGAGGCAAAGATGAAATGTAAGAAAGAGGAGTATCTTGGAGTCACTAAGTCTGCACAGCAACCGTTACTGATACCACATGCTAACTGATTAGCAGTGCAAGTAACTGCTTGATACAGTAAATCTGTGCTTTTTAGCAAAAAAAAACCCAAAACATAAAAGCATGAGGAAAAGAATGGCTTAGAAAGGCCCACTGCTAAGATTAGTAGGGAATATGTGATGCTGTGGGCTTTTTTCTCCCCAGCAATGCCAATATGACCTCTTTAAAGTATAGAAATTACATGAATAAATGTAACCCTGAATATTTCAGCTACTGTTCACAAGATCAGACCCAAAGAGGAGACGTGAAAGATCTCCAACCCTGTGAAATGTGATGGAAGAGTTGATAACATCCCATTAGCAAAGAGCTGTATTTGTTATTAACTCCAGATAGACCAATAAATACATTACAGATCATTTTGATTTAAGAAAATTAGTTCCTCACTTTATTTCCCCTAAAAACTCAAGTCAAGTTTTGAATTTTCTAGATTTTCCAGTGTCATTATTTCACTACAAATTTTTTTGTTCTTTTGGCTTTTATAAGAGGCGCAAAAAAAACTGCATCACATCTTTCTCTTATTTTTCTTTTCAGTAAATTACATCTCTTAAATTGTCAGTAAAAATATTAGAAATAGACCAAACCTCTTAGTGTTGTAGATTGGTGGAAAAAAAAAAAAGAGAAGCACATTGAATGGGTGAGCAGCTTCATAGCCTTTCTGTTTGCATTTCTCTCAGTATCTGTACGATGAAGACGACGAGGTGAGGAAGAAGAAGCCGAGGCGTAAGCTCCCTCCCAACGCCGGCAGCACCAGGGTGAGACGAATGTCCCCTCTTGTCTCTCCAATTCCTCTTTCTGTCTCTCGCGCTCTTCTTCTACAGGCCTGTTTCGTCTCCAAAGCAATTCGCGGCTAACCCGATTCCCGCAGTAGCCTTTTCAAACAAATCTGATTTGACTTGACTGACTCCACAAACCTCCCCCCTTCGTCTGCCTCCCACCCCGACTCGTCTCTATGGTTTATGCATCGGGCCTCTCGCTTTCCAGCCAATTTCCATCCAGAAATAGATCAATTCTAGTTCCCAGTAGAACCTGTGATAACAATAATCACATCCTCAGATGCAAGGACACAATCTTACGCACTCTTGACATTCAAACACTCACTAAGGCTGTAGAGTTTAACACATAAACACACACAACACTCGCTTGCAGTTTGACAAGCGGAAATTGTTTTTCTGTGTGCGTGCGTTTGCAGCAGTATGACATATCAGAGGGTTATTATAATAGAGCCCTCCTGTGGAGCTAACACACTAAACACCCACACTGCTGCTGGATGTTGGAAGCACCTGGTCCATACGGCGGCTCCTCTGACCTCTGAGCACATCATCAAAGATAAAGACCATCTTCCCATCTCAGGAAATCAGCACTAAGCCTCCGGAACATAGTCAGACGTTGTCTTTTGTTGCTAGTTTTGCTTTTTTCCGTTCTTATCAAACATTTTAAAGGTTCAAGGTTATTTTTATTTAGAGTATATGCCGTAACTCACTTTGGTTTCACACTAAGATCACAAGCTGAGATCACAATGTCCTCCTGGTGCATCTTTCTGGTAGTTTTGAGGTACTGCCAATAGGTGGCGTCATGTCTGTTTATGTCTGCTCATCTTGCGCGGTGCTGGAGTTCTATTTCAGCTCAAAAAGGACCGATTAAACACAGTGATTTGGGAAATATAACCTTATTTTATCAGGATCAAATGCTTTCTGGTCCTTTTTTATGTAGACACATAACGGGCCTTTGCACCTTTTAAAGTTTAAATAAAACTTTACCAATATAGATTCCCACCTGTGCAAATTATGGTAACTATCTTCTTTACTTTGCAAACAAAAACTTGAAGCTTTGACTTTTACCCAGGCTTTTTTCTAAGAATAAATATCAACATAAATGTTGTTTAGTGCTAGAAGTTGGGTTTTCAGGGAGGTTGTTAGTAGTTGTTACCAAAACCTGATCAAAAAGTGGTTTGAGACATTTTAGGGATCAAATGCACAAAAAATGTTGATTTTCAGTCACTCTTACATAGGGCTTTCTTTAATACTTTATCAATTTATTCATATATATTTTACAAATTAATAATTAATGAATAATTTTGGATTCTTTCAAATAAAAAAATTCTGTTATTTTAAATGATGACTGATTAAAGATTTCACCCAGTGCCAGTTATTTATAATAAGAATGTCTGTCTTCCAGCATAATGAGACTTAGTCGTCAAACACTTTGAAAAGTTAGTGCATTATCTATTTGAATCGTCTCTGTGTTTAGACGACCCTGCAGTTTTCACGGATGAGGAACGCAGAGATCACATGACTGCCTTTGCTCGCTGTTTCTGTCGTTATTCCAGCTGTTTTTCTGATGCTGATTAAACCACAGATGTTGATCTTTTTTTCCTGATTGTGAAGCATGAGAAGTTTGGTTTTAGCAGCTTTCTTCTGTCAACAACTTCAAGCTTTTTTTAAACATGGCTTCACAACATTTAAAGCAACTTATGTGGTCATAGATACGTTGAGGTATAGGCCTATATGAGGATTAACCAGGTGTTTAGTTTTTTCAATAAATGAAAAGCAATTCCCAGAGTAGGGGGTTTTATTTAAAATGTTATCCTTTTTCAAGATGTTTTATATAATTTTCTTACTTGTTTTATGTGTGTTTTCATGAATAAATCCTAATCCTACACTATTAAGGGACTGTTGCCTAAAATGAGCTGTGACCCTCTACAGCTCACTCTGGCACGACTACATGATGGACTTAAAAATACTGACGTTAAATTTGATTGTCACTGAAAAAGAAACTTGGAAGTTCTTATAAGATGAAAAACTTGTGACTCTTTCAGAAGGAAAAAAGGATCTAAGTGAAGGCTGTTTTCAAATACAGCTAAAAATAAGCAGCTGAGTTATTCTTTTTAAATATTACATAAACCGTCTCCTTCTTCAAAACAAACACTGCGGCGAAAGGTGCTAACTACATATAACCATAATACGCGCACGCTGTGACACCTTCCACTCTAATGAAACCAAACTGCACCATGAATATCATGTTTCCTGCCCTGATGTCGTTTCATTTAACCACTGTTCTTCTGAGTCATCAAGCATGAAAAGTGAGCTTAGCTATTCCCTGTTTATTACTCTCCTCTTTCAGCTTGTTCCTTTTTATTAACACATGAAATAAACATGTCTGTCCTTGGTGTCTCATGCTGCTCTTTTCACAATTGTTCCTCCACAGCAACCCAACATCAAGCAGAAGTTTGTCGCCTTGCTGAAAAGGTTTAAAGTCACTGATGAGGTTTGTTCTATGCTCCTTTACTTTATTTTAGGCCAGTCTTTAATCTAGTTTTTCCTTTTCATAGATGTATCAAACATATTTTTCCCTACTCTTTGTTTGCAGCTTTATAAAAGCAAACCATTAATTTTTGGCCTTTAAAAACAAACAAAAAAAATCTGTTACTCCAGGTGGGGTTCGGCCTGGAGCACGTGTCGAGGGAACAGATCCAGGAGGTCGAGGAGGACCTTGATGAGCTCTATGACAGCCTGGAGATGTACAACCCCAGCGATAGCGGGCCAGAGATGGAGGAGACGGACAGCATCCTCAGCACCCCCAAACCCAAGCTGAGGTAACAGGATGAACACTGTTAGTTAGAAAACATTAGTGATGTCCTTCCTTTTATGTGGAAAAGCAAAGCTGCTGAAGGTAGCAATAAGAACTCTTGTTTAGGTGGTGTTTATTGGTAAAACAATTACCTAGTGAAAGCAAAACAAAATCAAAAATCTGATTTAAAGTGTGAGGCTGTTTTTGTGTACTAAAATGGTGCCAGTTTTGCAGGCTATTGTACGCTTTATAGCTCTGCATTATGACAAAAAACATGCACACCATGGATTTCTCTGAAAAGTTTACTCTATAGACTGTACTGAGTTGGAAGTCTCTGTGCTGATATTAACACAGCATGCATCTAGATTGATCTAGGGTAACATTTTTTTCCCTCTGGTAATATTTGCTCCCACCCTTTCTCTTCTTTATTCATCCATCCTCTCATCTGCAAATGTTATGCAGATTTTTCTCAACAGCATGAAGAAATAAAGATATGGTGCTTCCACTGGACGGGTATTTAGATTAGATTGGACGGGCTGCTCTGAAGTCTTACTGCTCTCTTTATTAGCAGTTTATTTAGAGCTCCCCCTGTTGGTGAAAACATCTCTCTGCACAAGTCTGAATGAGGCAGTTAACTTTGCTTAAACCTCAGAGGAATATTAACTCGCCAAGTCTATATATTTATATACATATATTTCTATATTCTATAATACATTTAGTAGATACATACAAGACATCTGCTTTGTTGAAATAAAAATGTTTTTTTTTTTTATCTAATGATGTTTCTGAAAAGATTTATTTCTATAGATAAAAGAAGTTTGACTAAATATTCACTGCCTGTTTTCTTATGTAGCAAAGGATTTATTATTTTTCGCCTGTAGTTTTTCTTTTCTTTCACTGTGTCATTTTTTATTTGCTCAACAAATATTGAAGGATTCCTGTCATGTCGCTGCAGGTTTCCCTGCTCTAAGTAGAAAATCGTCTCCATGTCTCAGCTCCTCACTGCAGACTCTTCTCTAGAGAGATGAAATTAGTTTTTGTTTTGGTGTCCTTGTTCAGGCCGTTCTTTGAGGGGATGTCTCAGTCCAGCTCGCAGACGGAGATCGGCAGCCTGAACAGCAAAGGCAGTCTGGGTCGAGATACTTTCAGTCCAGTAAGTAGCCCAGCATCAGTTTTGGGTTTTAAAGTTGAAAGGGTTGAACTTTTGTTGCAAAACTGAAGAATCCAGCCTCAGCAAGGGGGACTAAATCCACTCTTTAAAGCTGCTATGAAGTGTTTTTCAGTGGAGTACTCAGGGAATCAGTTCTTTCAGTTTTTTCTGAGTGAATTACAAATTCAGGAAGTCTTTTTAAGAACTGTCTTCTGAATAGAGCAGATTTAGTCTTTTTAGTCTGTGCAGAAATCAAGCAGCAAAGACTTCAGCTTTTTAAAAAAAATGTAGTTTAATAAGCATTTACTGCAGGGTAACTGTTTGTTCTCATGAAACTCATAAATACACCTACTTTCAGTTTAATTAAAGAGTTCTAGGAGATTCTGTTCTTTTGTTTTTTTCTTCCCATTGGTTCACTTCATGGTAATGTTGACTTTTTTTCCCAAGCCCATCTGACTCTCTGGTTTTCCCAGCAGGGGGAGCAGCCTCCTCTGGAGAAGATGAAACCGTCCCGCAGTCGGAACTTGGACGAGATCCCATCTGAGACGGACACGCTGGTAGGAATGCTTCCCCGCGTCTATGAGTCGGGTGAAGGAGGGAGAGTAAACGTTGTGCCCAGAACCTGTTGGTGAAGATCAGTGGTTTATGTCTGCAGGAGCTCACAGACCAGGAGCTGTTTGCAGAAGTCGGCCCCTGCATTACGGTGTCCGTGGCTGAGAAACCCCGTACGCCCCTGAAAAGCAGCAAAAATGAAATGCAGCCCATGGCATCACCAAGGTAACACCTAATCTAAGCTTAGTTAACTTACGGAAATTACTTTTTGTTTTCTAATCATATGAGTTTGTGTCCCGTTATTGTTACAATGTATCTAAACCACAATGACACTTATGAATGGGTGATTAGCATCATATTCTATTGTATCTATTTTAATTAAAATTCTTAGCAGATTAGCAGGGGACCGTTTCCCACACTGAGCCCAAGAGCCTGTTTTACTAAAGTGCTTTAGATGGATTAACTCCATCCCCCTCATTTTGTTGATGATCCCCTCCTTTGTATCATTTTCCAGACTTAAGTTTTTCTTTTGTCCAAAGAAATTCTGTTTTAAAGGTGGAAAACGGGATAAGGTGTTATTTTACAGTTAGTTCTGTGCCGCCTTGCAAACCTACTCAGTTACACTGTAACAACAATCTTTCATATTTTCTTTTGTAATTGTAAAGTGGAAAGAAAAGGAGGCCTGGCTTAGATATCTTTTTATTTCTTTAATAAAGTTAAGAAAACTGGGATGTGCATTTGCACTCGGCTTCAACTGACACTAGATTGAGGTTTTTTTTTTTAGATTTTTGTTTCAAATTGATCTAAGCCTGGTTTAAGTTATTCTGTTAGAGCTCCGGTTCAGTTATTTCAGATTTTCTTCCAGAATTGTCCTGTTTAAATCTTTGTTTATTGTTTCTTTATTTTATGCAGGCCAGTTAGTTATATGTCAGCTTGTACACCTAAATTCAACCAATCATTTATCAACGGTCAATCAGATGTTTTCGGTCATAGCATCTTGATTCATATGTCACAGCTAATATACGCAACGGTTGAAATAAGAATAATTTACTTTCCCATTGAGTTCCATGGACGTCTGTGTCTTCAGCAGGCGTAGAGCTAACAGAACTGGCAGCGTTGCAAGGCAAGGGCTCAAACATGTAAGGCTGTAAGCCTTCTACACCAAACCAAGCTTCTGCTGCCATGGCGTCCTCTTCCACAACAAGAGGACGCCACTTTCCTTCTCTAAACGAAAAATGTATGACGTAGGAGACTCATCCATGGCCTCCGACACAAAACTCTCCTCCTCTTGCATGTTTCCGCTGTCCATGGCGTTCCTTGACAGTGTCGTTGCTAAGTGCTACTTGGTCCCAATGTAGTTTCCCATTGGAAACCTACTTGCACTTAGTTGCTAACTGGATAGCAAGATGCTTAAGACAAAACCGGCCACAATCAAACTTGCTTTTAAACCATCCGCCACAACAATCCCACCCCTTCATAAATGACCAATCACATTCACTTTATTCACTCTTGTAAAGTCAGGCACCACTCGGGAGAATTTGGAAATGCAACAGTTGGAACGGGCGTTTCCCTACAACTTTAAGTTACGCAAAGAAGTTCCCTTATTAGTTCTGAAGGTAAGGTTTAAGATAGGGTTATCATAGGAAAAGGGACTGATGCTGCTTTCTTTGTTGATTTCATAGATGAGCAATAAAAGCTGCTAAAACACATCAGAGTATGTTATTTATGATTAAATTGTGATAAAATGTTAAAAGCGTCGACATGTTGCTTGATTCCGAACGGCTCTGTTTATTTGTTTTTTCTGTTTAGGTTGGACGGAGGCCACACGCCCAGACACAAGCGCAGCATCAGCACCCCCATGAAGGAGAGACAGCTGTCCAAGCCTCTGAGCGAACGGACCAACAGCTCCGACTCTGAGAGATCCCCGGAGCTGGGACACAGCACACCGGTAGGAGAAACCATCGGAATCCTCCAGGATCTTATCGTAGGCGGCGTTATTGGTTCAGGCGTCATGTCGTCCCTCTGAGGGATTTACACACAAAACAGCAGCTTTTGTTCTAACCAGCACACTGTTCCCAAAGTAAAGAGAACTCGCTCTGTTAATACATGAGCCCTCGGAGCTCAGGAATGAATTATGTATGTGCAGATGAGTCATTTGAAGAGTAAATGGGATTCTGTGGTGGGGAGGGATTTCTAAACCCAGGATACTTATCTGCCTGTAGGTTATGAGGAAAGCCGTGTACGATCAGCTCAACCAGATTTTGCTGTCAGATTCTGCACTCCCCGAGAGCCTCATCTTAGTCAACGGCACTGACTGGCAAGGACAGGTATGCACAAGAACCCCCCAACAAGATGGCACTCGTCTTCTTTCCCATTTGCCTGATTTTTTTCTCTGTGTTTTCTCGTTGCAGTACGTAGCGGAGCAGCTCCAAGGTCAGAGACACCCGGTGGTCTGCACGTGTTCGTCCGCTGAGATCCAGGCTGTGCTTTCCGCTGTGCTCACACGCATCCAGAAATTGTGAGTTTTGAAAATACCCCATTACTTGAACCCTCTGAGTCATCACACCTGTGTTTGCATAAAAAAAACCCACAATCTCGCTGCTAGTTCTTCCTCATGAATAATATTTCTAGTCTCTTGTTTAAGCATTGGTTGTATTTATGATGTCTTGGTTCTTTTTAAACACCCAAGCTTTGATTTCACATCACTGCAGCATTTTACCATTTAAAGCTGTTTGCTGCAGTTCAGCTTTGGTTCTAGGTGTTTAGTCACAGTTTTTAAACTGTTCTTTGAGGCATTAAAGGTTTTTTTTTTATGTTACATTACATAATTTAGTTTAAAGAAAGAGATTCGCCTGTTAATGCAAACAGTGAAGTTTATAGGATTATGTTTTTAGCATTCAGAGTGTGATTATAAGTCAACATTTGAACCATTTTAAATGAAGTCGGCTTTTGCATTCACCTGAAACTTTTTTTTTTTTTTTTACGACAAAAAATAGCTATAGGAGGCAATAAAAGAAAAGGAAACATGAACATGTGCTAGAAACTAAAATCAGATGATAAAAATGAAAAATAATTAAAACAGTTTAATTTAAGCACATGCTATAAAACTTTTAAAATCTCATCAATAGAGTTATTATTGAATGTAGAAATGCTTTTAAGTGATCTTTACAAGTAAAGCTGAAGATTTAATAAAAGTGCTGACACAAGAACCCAGCTTTAAAAACTTACTTCTGCCTTAATGTCCACCTAAAGACGGGGTAGATTTTTAAGTGTTTTTGACCTGAAAAATTGACCCGAAGTTTTCTTGCAATTCTGGTTTATTGTGATTATTTTAATTATTTTAAAAGCTTAAAAAGAAAAGTTAAAAATTTAAAAACAAACACTAAAGTTGTCATTTGAAATGAAGAAATGTCAAATCATATTCCCCTCCATTAAAACCTATTTATGCTTTATTATTACTTTATTCAGCGGTGGGAGAGCTGTCATGGAAAAGAATAGTCCAGTTTTAATCCTGGGGTTTTATGCACATCCAGGGCTTTTTTTGTTTCTCATTTAGTGACATTTTGGATTAAATGTTGTTTGTGTCATAATCTGCCCTGATAGCTCTCCTTAATTATTCATGCATTTCACCTGCTTAACTCTGCCAGCTCCTAATCATCACTCATCTCATCCACCTGACGGTTTCCCTTATATTGGGTTCAGTTCCAGCCTTCAGAGCCAGATCATTGTGTTATTTCTGTTAGTTCCTTGTTTGTCTTCTGTTAGTGCTCTGTCTGTCAGTTTTAGTTATTTCCAAGGTTCATGTCCCCATTTCCAGTAGGAGATTGTTTTTTAGTCCTAGTTTTAATCCCTAACCAGTAGTAAGAGCATCTCAGCATTTTCCGAGCGATTCTGTTTTCCTGATTCTATTCCCTCTCACCCACTGGCCCTGTCTGTCCCCGTCTGATCAGCCCACCTTAACCTTGGTGGACTCCTGCTGGAATCTGTCTGAGCTGGATGCTCGACACTCGGGACTCTGAACCTGCCTTTGCGTTCTGATGAATTCCTGGAACCCTGATCTGTCTGTTGCTGTGTGGATTGGAACCCCTGACCGGACTGCAGACTCCTGGATTCCATTACTACTCCAGTCTGATCTGAATCGCTGTCCTGGATCAGAGTCCAGCCTGCTCTCCGGGGTTGCCACATGGGGGATGCTCTGGATGCCTCAGGGTTGCCTCTCGTTGGCAGTGCATCAGCTGATCCTGTCTAACATTTAAATGGATAGACCGAACTGTTAAACCAGAGTATCAGTGATTTGGTGCTGCCCCGCCCATTTTCTGCAACAGCCACAAGCTGCAGATCCTCAGCAGCGTGCTTCCTCTGTTCTGTTTTTAATAAATGTTTTGAACTTTCCTACTGGCTGTCTCACCTTGAATACTGGGTCCATCTGTCCCGCTTTATGACAGTAACCTGGCAGTAGCCAGAATGATATGTGTATAACTGAGTTGAGTTCTCCGTTATCCATCTGGGATGGCTGCCGTTCACTCAGTCTGAAAAAGGAGGGACGTTTACTACAATACTTTGAGCTGATTGGGTGACATGCCAGCTAGTACCCGCCTTCCATAATATGCTTTCAGCCATTTTGGTCGCCCATGAGAGCCACTAAACGGAGACACGACGATCACATTATTTGTTGTGAGAATGAAAGCTCAGATCTCGCAACAATCCAGCTTGCAGCGCAAGGTTAACCCAAAGGTTACATGAAGAGGATCAGTCATTAAAATCCTTAAACTGGGACATCTTTGTTCCTCACAGTTACTTTAAAACCAATCAAATATAACCGATCAGGTGAAAAGATGTTACATTATCTCGGTTACATCTCCCTTCTGTCTGTGTCTCCCTGCAGCTGTAACTGTAACTCCTCCATGCCGCGGGCGGTGAAGGTGGTGGCGGTGGGCAGTCACAGCTACCTGGGAGCCATCCTGCAGTTCTTTGTCTCTCAGCTGGCCAACAAAACCTCCGACTGGCTCAACCACATGCGCTTCCTGGTGGTGCCTCTGGGTGAGGAAGCCTTCTAAAAAACACCATCCTCACCCTGTTCAGGGCAAGTAAAGTGACCCAGTGTTTCTTTTTCTCTTTTTCAGGTTCCCATCCTGTCGCTAAACACCTGGGATCCCTTGACAACCGCTACAGCTCCTCGTTCCTGGATGGAGCGTGGAGAGACGTGTTCAGCCGATCCGAGCCACCTCAGACAGGTTTTTATACATTTAGAGATCAAATTTCTCCCTCCTTGCGAAGCTCAGACCAGATCATCACTCTTTTTTTTAAACTTCAGATCAGTTGGATATTTCTGGAAGAATCAACCAGTACATCAGCGGAGCCTCAGTGACTCACCAGCTGCCCATCGCTGAGGCTATGCTCACCTGCAAGCACAGAACGTAAGTGAAGAGTCTAAAAAAGAAACGTCCTAAAGTGAGGACAGCTTGTCGTAAATAAACCTCCTTTTATTTGATCTCTTTTTCAGTCGGGAGGAAGAATCCTACCAGAAGTTCATCCCCTTCATCGGGGTGAGATTTTAGTTTCTGAATAAACTGCAACCTGCTCCCAGCAGTGCCTCAGCTGATCGATGCCATCTGTTGTTTTCCAGGTTGTAAAGGTCGGCCTCATCGAGTCGGCGAGTTCTCCCACAGGTGAGGCGGTTTGATCGGTAATGAAGAGCCCGGAGAGGATCCAGTTCAGCTGAAAGCACTTTGGTTTCTTTTCTCAGGAGATCCAGAGGAGGGTGTTGGGGTCAGCTTGGCCGTCCCGTCCACATCTCCACCGTCTCATGGCTCCCCCACTGGAATGATCAAAGAGGCAGCTACTCCCCCCTCCTCCCCCTCCATGGGCAGCGTCTTAACAGTCCAAGGGTAAGGCAGACTGATGCTGATCGTAAAGGTTTAAATTAGAAACTTCATCTGACAGAAAAAAAGGCTGCAAAAAAAAAAAAAAAAACCTGAAATGCTCCTCATAATGTTTCTCTTATTTCGCCACAGGAGCCCCAGCATGCCTCACGTTGTGGACGCCATCGGCCTGCAGGTGGATTACTGGCTGGCCTCTCTAGCGGACAAGCGGCGGGAGGGGGAGAGACGCGACACGGGCTGCAAGAACACGCTGAAGAGCGCCTTCCGCTCGCTGCAGGTCAGCAGGCTACCAGGAGGTGGCAGCAACGACCCACAGGCCCTGGTCAACACCATGGCCATGACTGTGGTCACTAAGGAAAAGAACAAGAAAGGTGAGCTGGAGGATCCAGTTACAATAAATGTCCTTGTCCTGTTCTTATCCTGTTAAACGTGGCGTTTGCAGATGAAGGCGGAAAGGAAAGGAAACGTTTACATAATCTCAATGCAGGAAAGATACACGGGATCAGAACAGGAAAATATGTCATAATTAAGGAATAGTTGCTGTTCATTGATATCAGGAGAGCTCTGCAGGCTCAGTGCCTTAAGTATTCAGACCCTTTAAATGTTTTTTGTCACCTAGCATAAACTTTACATTTTTTTTATACCAAACTGGATTTAATCTGGGGTTTTTTCTCACGTAAGTTTAATAATAACTAGAAAAAGCTGTTTCGCAGAAACAGCAAAGTGGGAATGCTTTTTTTGCTGAACGAAAGAATAAAAATTAGCGAAAGAAACTGCGAGAAGGAAAAGAAGCACAAATTAGCTGAGGAACATATGAAAATGTGAAAGGAAGTAATCAGAAACTTAAAACTGCAGAAAACAATTGAATCATCTGAAGATTTTGTAGGGTAGAATCATCTGGCAGTAAAATGGCAGAAACAGACTAATCTTAAAAGCTTCACAGCCAAACCATATATGACATCGAAAAATCACTGGAAGCGTCTTAATGTAATGTCTCCCAAGTTTCTAGAAAAAGTTCTAAAGAAATCTTGAAGGGGGGCCACCTACTTTCCAGAAACATGTCAGGCGTGTTATAATTTAGCAGCAAACAGAAAAGCTTAATTCCTGTTCAGAAAGAGAGCAGAATGAAGCCAAAGTTCACAACATAGGCTGAAAAGTATTAAATTAGCTGAATTAGAAAAGAAATTAAAATAGAAAAACTTGAATCTTATCTGGTTGAAGAAAAAAGTAGTAGCTTAAGGATGGGAAGTAAAATGTTGAGGAAGATGGTATTGAATAAGTATCAAAATTTTGAAATCATATGTGGAAATGTCAAGACTTGGCAAAACAATTTGAAATTATTTGAAATGTGTCGGTTGATCAACATAAAGAAAACAGTGTCATCCTTAGAGGACTGAAAATCTACAAACCTATGTTTAACACTGACCATGAGAAGCAGAGGAAGGACAAAGAGAAGCTTATAGAAAGAGAGTTAATAAAACTTGAGGAGCTGAATTTACCAAAAAAAACTAACCTGCATGTTACGAGCCACTGTGTTGATGAAAGCACCATTGGCAGGCTTAGGCTGCATATTACGAGGTTAGCAGATGCTTTATTACAGTGTAAATCTTAAAGCCTTATTAAGAAATGTGCACTGAGGTGTGTGGTCAACAGGCCTTGGTATTGTAATTTGAAGAAATTGGTTGACTTTGGGTCATAGCTACGAGCCATACGGCACAATGAATGAGTGTGTGCAAGGAAGAGGCTTCTATCTTGTAGAGTCCCTTTAGTCTTATTTCAAAAGTCTATCATGGATGTGTGTCAAGGGAAGGGTCATCCCCAGCAGTGATATAGAATCCATTTCTAAATGTGAAATCACTGGTTTTCCATGTTATTGGGTGAATAGATGCTGTATTAGAGCGTAAATGGGAGACTTTTATTGTGAAATTCGCTCTGGGATATGTTTTGAAAAGTTCCCTAGAGTCTAATAGAATCAAGATGGTAGAGTTTGGGTCATAATGCTGAGCCATTTGCATCAAGGAAAGCAGGAGTATAACATAGAGGCTTTTATTTTGTAGGGTCACTGGAGTCTTACTGTGAAAGTCTAGCAGGGTTGTGTGTTGAGAAAAGGGTCAGACCCAGCAATGATACTTCATGAATTTGCAATAATTGAATTGCTACATTTACCTGTTTTTAGTTCAATAGATGAAGTGGCAATGGGAGGCTTTTATTTTGAAATTTGACATTAGGCGCATTTTGAAAAGCCCCGTGGAGTCTAATTTTTGGTTAGGTTGAGTTTGGGTGATAATGTTGAGACATATGCTGTAAAAAAAATAAGAGTATAATAAAGAGGCTTTTATTTTGTAGGGTCCCCGGAGTCTTATTTTGAAAGTCTATCAGGGTTGCGTGTCAAGGGAAGGGTCATAGCCAGTAGTCATATGTTATCCATTTCCCAATGTTAAATCAGTGTTGTCTCCCTCCATTAGATTAAAATGTGCTGTTTAAAGTGGCAGAAGTAAAATCCCTTTGAAGCTCGGTTACCTTGACAACGCTTAACGAGCCTGTCAGTGAAAGAGAGAAACGTGCTTCACTTTCGTTCCTTTCCTCTCAGGCTTTTTTGAATGGGAATATCAGCTCCAAACAAACGAGTGCTGAAGACAAACCGTAAATGGTATCTAAAAAAGTCTTTCAGTCTAAGCGACAGCTATCCTTTGTCTCCGATTGGGGTAACTTTCATGGCTGTAGCTCATTCACAGCCTTAATGGGAAGGAGAAATATAAAGGTTTGAGAAATCCTGCTGGTCTCATTGAATAACATGCAGCACAATGGTAGAGCAGAACTCTCAAAAGCAAAACTTTCCCTGCGAACAAACGAGCGGTGAGCCAAAACCGTAAAAGGTATTCAAAAAATTTTTTCAACTGTTGGCGTCAGCCATCTTTTGGCTTCGACTGTGCCAACTTTCATGTTTCTACTAAAAACTATTTGGCCACGGTGACGATGTAAATATTTGCATTTTCTGAGTTTGAGGATTTTTCTCAGAATCAGCGTTTTCCTATGCCCGAACAAGTCAGCTAAACAGCTAAACCATAAATGATATTGAAGAAATTCCTTCAATGTGAGTGCTAGAAGGTTCTGAAGATGTTGTATACCAAGTTTCATGTTAGTACATCAAATAGTTAATAAATGGGAGCGATACGAAAATATGTATCGTTTTGGATTTTGTCTGTGATTTTTGGAAAATCTCTCATTGGATTTCTATTGGGGAAGTGTTGACTTCTTCATGGTCTGGGCCAAACTGTCGGAAAACCGTAAATGCCACACAAATGAGGGTTATATTTCCTGAATCCTGACAAAAATCCCTACGTTTTGATGTATAATTTATTTCAATTGAGTTAAAAATGAGGGACTGAGAAGAATTTGTTCGGAAAAACCAGAACAGCTCAAAAGCTAGAGCACGCACTCTAGCAGTTGAAGAATTCCGTCCATAGACTTCCATTATAAATCTGAAAATCTTAAAATTTTCTTTTAAAGTTTGAAGCTTCACTGAAGCAAAACTGTAAAAGTTAGCAGAAAGCCGAGTTAAACAGTAATAGCAGAAAGATACAGAAACATTTTAAAAGTTGAATGGTGTTTCTAGCTGAAAGTATGCTGAAGTAGTTAAAGGTCAAAGATGATGAAGGTTTAGCTGAACTTTGCTGAAATCTAAGAATTCTACATGCATTTCAATGGGCCAAAAAAAACGCAGAAAAAGCTGAATATCGCGAAAACTACACAAAATTTCTTTACCAAAAGACATAGCAGAATTCTCCTGAACAAGCTGAACGTTTTGATACCAAAATTGTTGAAATCAGATGAAAACTGCGGGACTAGTTAGAGTCAGAAAAATTACAAGTGAAAAACAATAAGTGGGAATGCATAAGCATTCCCACTTATAAAAAAAAAACAAGTGACATCTTTTATTCCAGACATCCGCCTCTGGGAGGTGACCTTAATTTAAAGAGCAAACGGAATTAATGCTGTGAAAAGGCTTCATAACAGACAATGAAAATATAACAAACAAAATGTCTGCAGCTAGTGCGTCACACAGAAAGCTAGTTTATCAGACGTCTAAGAACAAAAATGCTTTTTTTGCACCATGTTTCTTTCTCCGGCACTGTTTACATTTGATCACTGCTGCACTTTAAGGAATGGAAATGTTTCTGAAAGCTGTACAAAATGAAATCTTGTTCTTTATACACTCTATGTATACAAAATAACAATAAAAGTAGCCTAAGTCTAAGAAAAACTGATGCCATATTGAGATAGGGAAGCCAAACGAGTGAATTGATGGAAAAAATTAATGATCCTAATTTTCCTAAGTTTAATTTTCATTAAAAAAAAATAAGAATAAAAAAAATCTATTAAGCTCAAATTTTAAGGGACCAAGCAATGCCTATATAGGTTGAATAAGATGTGATATATATATTAATTCAGCCCCTTTTACTTTGATACCCCTTTATAAAGTCAATTACCCCAAATTAGAGGATATTTAATCTTATCTGCATATCCAGCTGTTCTGCTAAGGCTGCAGAGGATTTTTGGGTAACATTGGTAAACAAACGGCATAGTTAAAACGAAAGTTACGTATGTAACTACGGTTCTATGAATCCCGGATGACCGCCAGAGGGCGGTGCTGAAAGCACTGAATGTTCCCTTCGGGCATGCGCAGTTCGAGTAATTATACCAACAGAGTCACACCTGTGACACCGGATGACCACTCAGAAGCTATATAGCCTGGTGTCATCCTTTGCTCTGCTCCTACAGAATCTTCTCGCAAAAGCAAGGATTCTGAGTGACAGAGAAGCTCTGGCGGTCATCCGGGATTCATAGAACCGTAGTTACATACGTAACTTTCGTTCTATTTCATCCCTACTGACCGCCAGAGGGCGGTGCTGAAAGCACTGAATGACTAATGCCAACGATGTCACAAGGAATCCTGAGCACATACCTCACAGAGGAGGCCCAGCAGAACCTTGTAAAAGGACCTGACCCAGGGGATGAGGGGCAGCCACATTGACACTGTAGAACCTGGTGAAGGTGGTTGGGGAAGCCCATGAAGCAGCAGCACATATAGCTTCCAGCGGAACCCCTCTCAAAGCAGCCCAGGAAGCGGTGACGCTCCTGGTGGAATGTGCTCTCACACCGACTGGCAGGGAGCAGTGACCTGCAGCGTAGGCGTGGCAGATGACACTCACAATCCAATGGGACAGACGCTGTTTAGAAAGAGGACAGCCTAACCTTGGACCCCCATAGCATAGGAAAAGCTGGTCCGAGCGTCTCAGATTGGCGGTGGCTGCAATGTATGCCTCCAACGCTCTTACTGGGCACAACAACTCCGACTCATTCTCAGTTG